TTTTGGAGGCATGATCTCTGGCGGGGGAACCTCCGCGATGCCTCCCATGGCGGCAGAGAAACGCTGGAAGGCCTGCGGAGATCCCCCTCACTGCCGATCATGCCTCTGGAGCTTCTCCTGGTAGGCCCATTCTACCAGGCTTTCCCGGGGAGTAGACCTGATCATGCCTTCAATCATGCCCCCTGGTAGGCCCGGTGTACCCTGGGAATGCCGGCGGCGGCAGCAGATGACCTCCGAGAAGCCTCCCATGGCAGCGGAGAAGCCCTTGGAGGCCATCGGCAGTGGCAATGGCAGCAGCTGGGGACCCCGTGAGGCCTCCGGCAGCAACAGGGAAGCCCTTGGAGGGCTTCAGCAGCGGTGATGGCAGCAGCGAGGGACTCCTTTGAACCAGTAAGGTGCTGCTTTTTGCATTTATTTTCTTTTGGGAGGGGTATTTTTTCTTAGGCCGGTTATAGATTATTGGGTTTTCAATGCATTCCTATGGGAAATGGACCCTCGACCTACAGACTTTTTGACCTGCGGCCACCATTCCAATACGGATTAATTCCATAAGTCGAGGGTCCACTGTAGAGACCAAATTGCTAACATGCACTGGATTATGGAGAAAGTCAGAAAGTTCCAGAAAAAAAACATCTATGCAAAAGCCTTTGACTGTGTGGACCACAGCAAACTATGGCAAGTTCTTAAAGAAATGGGAGTGCCTGACCACCTTATCTATCTCCTGAGAAACCTATATGTGGGACAGGAAGCAACACTTAGAACTGAATATAGAACAACTGATTAGTTCAAAATTAGGAAAGGAGTATGAGAAGGCTGTATATTGTCTCCCTACTTATTTAACTTATATGCAGAATACCTCATGCGAAAGGCTGAACTGGATGAATCCCAAAACGGAATTAAGATTGTTGGAAGAAATATGAACAACCTCCAATATGCAGATGATACCACTCTGATGGCAGAAAGTGAGGAGGAATTAAAGAACCTCGTAATGAGGGTGAAAGAGGAGAGCGCACAAAATGGTCCGAAGCTCAACATAAAAAAAAAAACTGAGATCATGGCCACTGGTCCCATCACCTCCTGGCAAATAGAAGGGGAAGAGATGGAGGCAGTGACAGATTTTACTTTCTTGGGCTCCATGATCACTGCAGATGGTGACAGCAGCCACAAAATTAAAAGATGCCTCCTTCTTGGGAGGAAAGTGATGACAAACCTAGACAGCATCTTAAAAAGCAGAGACATAACCTTGCCGACAAAGTTCTGCATAGTCAAAGCTATGGATTTTCCAGTAGTGATGTAAGGAAGTGAGAGCTGGACCATAAAGAAGGCTGACCGCCAAAAGATTGATGCTTATGAATTGTAGTGCTGGAGGAGACTCTTGAGAGTCCCCTGGACTGCAAGGAGATCAAACCTAACCATTCTGAAGGAAATCATCCATAAGTGCTCACTGGAAGGATAGATCCTGAAGCTGAGGCTCCAATACTTCGGCCATCTCATGAGAAGACTCCCTGGAAAAGACGCTGATATTAGGGAAGTGTGAAGACGAGAGAAGGGGACGACAGAGGCCAAGATGGTTGGACAGTGTCATCAAAGCTACCAACATGAATTTGTTCCAACTCCGGGAGGCAGTGAAGACAGGAGGGCCTGGTGTGCTCTGGTCCATGGGGTCATGAAGAGTCGGACACGACTTAACGACTAAACAACAACAAAGACTGTTAAAGGAACATGTAGATGCAATCTCAAAGCCTCTGTCTTTGAGAATTGTTGGAGGTTCTTGAAGATTATAAGCAAGCGAATGTTCTCCACATTTTCAAAACAGGAGGATAAGGAGATTCAGGAAACTTCCAACTAATCAGCCAGAAACTGATAACCAGGAAATGTTATGTAACAGATTGGCAAACAGCTGTCAGTGACCACTTAGAAAATAATACTGCTATTTCTAAGACCTAGCATGGATTTTTTCAAAAACAAGTCATGTCAAATTGATCTTACCACTTGTTTTGATACAGCTACAAGCTTGGTAAATGCCAGTAAGGCTGTGGATATAGCACATCTTGATTTCAGCAAAGCTTTTGCCAAGATCACTCATGATACTCTTGCAGCCAACCTTGTAAAATGTGAGCTAGGTAATACTACTAACAGAAATCCAGTAGTAGGGCCATAAATTGGTGAGTCAACTTGTAGAGAAGTTGACTCACCAAATCCCCAGTGATTCAATGGGTCTATTCTAGTCATGACTTACTACTGGATTTCAGCCACTGTTAGTGGATATGTTGCTAGATGGTGGGCCCTGTCTAAAGAGTGCTTACCAACCGTTCCTTTGTTACACTGGAGAGAAGCAACAGGGAGGTTGCCACAGGGTTCTGTCTTAGGCCCAGTGTCCTTGAATGAGAGTGTATAAGGGATGCTTGTCAAATCTGAAAGTGAAACCGGTTTGTGAGGCAGGAGAGCTCGTCAGAAGAAAGCATCAGGATTCAAGATGATCTTAACAGATTGGAGTACTGGGGCAAAACAAACAAAATGAGTTTCAATACGGAAATTTGTAGAATACATTTAGGCAAGAAATATCAGATGCACAAATTTAAGGCAGGTAACAGCTAACTGACAGTAGTACGTGTGAAAAGGATCTAAGGGTCTTACTAGGCCACAAGCTACAAATAAATCCAAAGTATGATACAGTAGCACAAACCAATGCACACATACAATATCATATATAATACTGCACTAGGCTACATCAACAGAAATACAGTATCTAAATCAAGACTGATAACAGTACCACTCTGTTCTGCTTTCATAAGGTCAGGTATTGTATCCAGTTCAAGATGCCACAGTTTGAGGCTAGAAAGTGCAGAGGAGGATGGTAAAAAAAATCTGGAAACCAAGGCCTGTGTGGAAAAATTGAGGGAACTGGATATGTTTACCCTGCTGCTGTGATTGTTATGTGCCTTCAAGTCAGAACCGACTTACAGAGATCCTAATGGGGTTTTTCAAGATGAGATATTTAAGAAGTGGTTTCACCTTTTCCACACTCCCAGTACGTTTCCATAGCTGAGTGGAAATTCGAACCTAAGCCTCCATCACTCTATCCACTACACCACACTGAAGGTTGTATGAAAACAATCTTGAAATAGTTGAAAGCTGTCACTCTTATTTATTTATTTATTTATTTATTTATTCATTTATTTATTTATTTAATTTATATGCCGCCCACTCTCCCCAGAGGTCTCTGGGCGGCTTACAATAATTAAAATTCAATACAATAAAATGATTAAAATACAATTAAAATACAATGAAAATTGCCATCATCAGGACCCACAGTTGTTATTTCATTTAAAAGCCTTCTGGAACAGGAAGGTTTTGACCTGGCGCCGAAATGTCATCAACGTTGGTGCCAGACAGATTTAAGTTGGGAGGGCGTTCCATAGTCTGGGGGCAGCTGCCGAGAAGGCCCTTTGTCTACAAGCCATCCCTCTTACCTCTTTGAGGGATGGCTCTTTCAAAAGGGCCCCCTGGCTAGATCTTAACTGCCGGGTAGGCTCATATGGAAGGAGGCGGTCCTTCAAGTATCCAGGGCCCAAGCCATTTAGAAGATGGAGCAAGTTTTATTTTCTGTAGTTCCAGGGGTAGGCTCAAAGTAATGAATTCAAATTACGAGAAACGGGATTTCACCAAACATTAAAAATAACTTCTTTATAATGAAGAACTGTTCAACAATTGAATGAATTGCTTCAGTGTGTGGTTGGGCTGTACTTCATTGGAGGCTAGATGGCCATTGGTCAGGGATGCTTTTTCTGTGGATTCCCTGCTTTGGTAGGGAACTGGACGTGATGATCCTTGAGGTTCCTTCCAGCTGTACAGTTTTATGATTATGTAAAAATGCATCAGCCTGTAAATCTATTAATCATAAACAAATTCCATCAAAATATATACCACTTATTTCTCACCCTAAACTTTATGTAAAATAGCCTTTCCCCTCTCATTGCTATTTGACTTAATTGATAATTCCTCATATTCATGTATAAGAAGATACTATTGCATGCATTTGATTAAAAAGGTTCAGTTCCACCAAATCTAAATGCCATAATAAATCTGTTAGTCTTCAAAATATATCACAAATTTCTCTGTAGTTTTTAACATAGTTTTTCACTTATACCACCTCTTCTACTGACATGGGAAATCATCTAAACAAACTACAATGCTAACTCTGATTTCTCTTCTCTCATACCACTGAGACCATCCACTGAGATGGCTTCATGGCTTGTCTGAACTGAGAAGAAAAGAGAACTGCTGGATAGATAGCTCAGTGGTTTAGATATAGTTGGCAGTTCAGTTCCCCACAGTGCCTCCTTGACAGGAGCTGGACCTTCACAGGGGCTGGACTTGATGATCCATAAGCTCCCTTCCAGCTCCAGCTCTGCAGTACTAAGAGCCAGCTGACCTTCCCATGGTGTTCTGCGGTTTTGTTGCCGCTACTGAGAGGGTGCTACCAGATGTCTTGGCCTATGAAGACAAAGAGAGTGAGGTTTCCATTAACAAATGATCTCATTGATCCATATGGTCCTTTCTAGTTCTGCAGTTCTGAGATGATGATGAGGAGGAATGGACAGATTTATAAGCACAAAGACTAACAAATAGTCTGATCTAAAGTTCTTTATGGCTTCATAGGTCATAACCAGAAGCTTAAATTGTGCCTAGAAATTGAACTGAATGCTACTGAAATTGACATTATTACTTCAATATTTAATTTTTCCCAAATTTTCCTCCAGATAGCATTATATGAAAGTTTCATTAATTCTCTTGATAACACATGTCCATGAGTATTTCTGTTCTCTCATTTATAGTAATTCCCCAGGTAGATAGATAACAATTGCAGGGTGCTATAGATTCATGAAACAACTATAATCTGGGGAAAAGAAGACGGATATCTTTTGTACTGGACGAAAAGAGTACAACAACACTGATTTTAGTATTTCACCACCATTTAGAAAAAGGATGGAAATGTATCCTTGTTGAACAACACGACTTAAGTGAAAAATCATGTAAATATTTCATTACTTGAAGAATATTCAAGGCCACGTAGAGTACATGTTGACTGGGTAGCTCAGTGAGTGAGAGTAGGAGCCGGGATATTGATTCAGCACTGTGCCTCCCAAATAAGAGCCACAAGAAGGAATGGATAAACCATCTCTGAGTACTTTATTTCTAGGAAATCCTGGCAAGATTCAGAATCAACAATGGCAAATGATTATTATGTACAGCACAGAATCCTATATGTGTTTACTCTGAAGTAAGTCCCACTAAATTAAAGGGGCTTACACTTAAGTAAACAAATCTATAATTTTAGCATTTGATAGCTAGGCTTATTCTCCCAGCAGGACTGTTTGTAGTTGTAGAAGAGAGAACATAACATACATGGCATAACTCTTCAAGATGCACAAGCCTTGTTCTCCTTTGCATTTGTTCATTGTGTTTACAGGGTGGTCAGATAAAATAAACTAATATCTATAATGTCCCTTCCAGGCATAAATCTTTTCACCAGAACTCACTTCTCCAGAACTTAGCTGGAATGCAGCTTCATTTTTATACCCAGGAAACTAATTTGCTAAAAACCAGATTCTGCTTCCTTTTCAAAAACTGTAACACAATGCTAGCATAGGAGAATTGGACCTGTCTGGTTTATATAGCTGAATATTTTTATAATAAATTGGGGCCTACCAATTGAGCACAGAAAGATTTTTTTCTTAAGGCCATATTGACTTGTTAAACTTAATGACTGAAATTCTGTTGTGCAGTAATCCAAAGTGTAACTTCTAGACACAAACTGGCTTAAATTAAGGGCCTCTGTAGACATTATCATCATGAGTTGCAAGACTTGGGGTGTGACAGATAATGGCTACAAAGATTTCTTAACTTAAAGTATTGAGGGTATTATTTATTTACATTTTATTATTTATATTTTCTGTTCTGTTTAATTGTATTTTAATCATGTTGTTTATATATGTTGCAAACCGCCCAGAGTGGTCTTCAGCCAGATGGGCGGTAAATAAATAAATAAATATTTTATTCATTTATTCAATTTATACCCCACCAATCTAGACTGAAGTCTACTCTGGGCAGCTAACAATAATACATAAAAGTAAAAACAATATAATAAAGACAACAGTAATAATATAATTCAAGATGGCAAAAGTAATTAGGTAATGACAGGGGGGAAAGGGTGCCTAAAGAGCCAGGTCTTAAGTTTGCTCTTAAAAACACCCAGCAAGGGAGCCAGACAGATCTCTGTGGGCAGACTGCTCCATAGGCGAGGGGCCACTGCCGAGAAGGCTGGGTTTCTTGTTCTTTCTCTCTGGGCCTCCCTCGGCGTTAGGCCCCTCAGCCGTCCATCTTGGCTAGAATGAGTGATTCTGGTAGATCTAGGTGGGAGGAAGCGTTCTGCTAGATATCGAGGTCTTAAACCGTTTAGGGCTTTATATGTCATCATTAACAGTTTGAAATCAATGCAGAAACAAACAGGCAGGCAATGCAGGGCAGCCAGAGTGGGGTAAATATGCTGATATTTTCTCACCCCAGTAAGAAGTCTGGCCACCACATTCTGCACCATTTGAAGCTTCCACATCAATCTCAAAGGTAGCCCCATGCAGAGCACATTACAGTAATCTAATCTCGAGATTATAAGTAAATAAATAAAGTCTAAGTTACGCCTTTTGCATAACTGCATATTAGGATTTTAGCCAGTGACTTGCAAGAACACTGATTATTTAAGCTCTCCAAGCAATTTATTTTATTACTGCACTGTTATAGCTCAGTTGTTTAGGTATCTGGCTGTAAAATCAGAGGTTGGGAGTTTGATTTCCTGATGTCTCTCCAGGGTGAAGAGGTCTGAGTCAAGTTGCCGAATCTCAGGGTACCCCTAGAAGAAGGGAATGGGAAACTGCTTCAGAGTATTCTCTACCTGGAAAACCACGTAACTCAGAATTTAAAAAGTCATGTTTTTTTTTCATAATAACAGTTTGAGAATTGATGTTCTAACCCATGGTGATAATTTCCAAAAATTCAGACTTTTTTTTTCCTGGTTTGCAACTACAACAAATTTATCAAATTGCTCTATCAAAAACAAATATATTTATTCTTTAAATAATAGTTTATCTACTTTTCAACTCTAGTTGCAATAAAAATTAAACAAGTAGACTTATGGGACTCTTTCCAAATAATAAAAGAAGGAACATAAGAGGATTGTCAACAGCAAAATCTTGTCTTACAGGTAAACCATCTCTGTCTCCATCTGTCTTGATGTAATCTGAGCTTCTTCTTTTAAAAAATGTCCACTGAAACAAAAGCCACAAGCTTATTTTGTTGATGGAACTCACAGATGAAAAAAGGAAATTGTTTAAGGACACACTGATTGTCAACACTGTAGATTTATTTTTTAAAAACTTTAAGCATAGCTATAATCATAATATAGTGCTTGGTGATCCAGACTTTAGAGAAAGTAGAAATAGTCTTCTGGATTTCTGTGTCAGAAACAGGACACTTAATATTTTACAATTTTACTCCTCTGCCACCTTTATGACCATTGGTTTTTCTGAATCTTTTGGGTACACTTGTGTCATTGATCTCAAATTTTCTTTTATAATCATGAGCTTTATGAACAATCTAGACAAGAATTTAGGTTTAGATGTGATGTAGCACTCAAAGTATTGTGCATTAAACAGTGATGAACATGATTTATATATTCTTCCGCCTGAATTGCTATGAAGTTTTATTGGTGCTTAAACATTTTGCTGCTACACTTTTAATTTTTTTTTAACTTCACGCTTTTCTGTTCTACCTTTTTTCATCATTGCCTGTGTTTGACCGCATATGGATTGGAACAGAATATAGATTTGTATAACAGACTTTATGGTGTGCATTCCCCAAAAGTAAGACATTCAAAATGTATCTGTAGAATGCTGATTAGGTAGATTTCTGGGAATATATCATGACAACTTAGAACAACTTAATTGTCCCAATTTGTTACTGAACATAATAATCAACAGTATCTTATCCATCTGCTGTCACAACTGGGCTGATGTCACCAGTACCAGCAGATTGCTTTGATTTCGACATGATTTTGTCTTGTTGCACCCAAAATCAAAGCAGGAACACTTTAAATAGGGGCAATCTGCTGCTAGTGGTGGTCACATAATTCCTGCTGTATAGATGGAGTTAAAGAGCAGGATACTGGCTAAATGTTGGGTGTTAAAACTTTCAAGCAAAGAAAGGAAAAGGACAGACCTCCAGATGCTTGTTGGACATTAACTCCCAGCATTCCTCATAACTGACTACACTGGCCAGAGCGGCTGGGTTTGCAGTCGAAAACATATAACAGCAGCCCTTTGCTCATCCTCTTTTAAAGTAATTAATCAGGGACAGGTATATAAAGAAATCCCTTTACTCATGCAAGTCTACCTTTATTATAAAATCTTTATCAAAGGCCTTAATTCTTTTTTGAAATGTTTGAAATTACTGGGAACAGCCAATCAAAGGTGGCACAGAGGCTGGGGAATGCTCTCTGGGGAATCTAATTGTGACCACCCTTTCCTCTCTGCTGGTGTGGGACAAATGCTGTATTTTTGCAGGAAGATTCCAGACCTCCCTTTTAGTTTTGATGAGAACACTACTTTTTAAAATTCTTCTGCTTTTTTTCTGTTGAAACTGTGAGTCTACCATTTTAAAAAATGTATTACAATAAATTTTAAATGTGACTTGATTCATTAGTTCAAAGATGAGATATATTATACAATTTAAACACGTGAATATATTCTATCAAAATGTCTATAAAAAGTGTGAGTAGCTAAAGAATGCCGTCCAGATCAGGAGTTCTCATATACTCCCAAATTCCTCCAGAAGTGCAGCCATTTTATATTGGGAACTATTGGTGATTTGAGGCCTCATCTAGCCTACAGCAAGGTCTACTACAGGAGAATTGTAATGGTATATTTTAAGATCCACTGTATTTTTAAATGCTGAAATCCTTGTACTTTTAATAAATTATGGCCTATTATATACACCCATGGAAGGTTCTCAGGTGTTGCATAGCCCTACTTTGACAAATATAGGTCAGAATAATATTCCCTTGTTTGTTAATATTCTGAGATAAGATAATCACCAAGCCAAATGGCACTACAAGCCGTTTCCCACAAGACAAAGAGTGGGCAGGAGCCCCACGTGCCCACCCCATCGAAGAATGTTCTACCCCACAGGTTTCGTGAGAACAAATCCACCCCTGCGTTGCCATGGTAACTCGTCCAATATCCAACTCTCTCCCCCATGGCCTCATTCCCTCCATTTCTTCCACAGCACTTTTTTCCCTCCCAGCAGCCAATAGGATGCCTGTTGCTAGGCCTCCTGCTCATTTGAATTCTCCAATCACACGCCTTTGCTAACTTCTCCTTATAAGGGGAGTGAAGAGCAGCATGTCCCTCTTAACCTACATGAGCTCCCCGATTAGAGCGCGCGGGGAGGAGGGAGAGGGAACACGCGCGCACACACTCGGCTTCCCTCCCCCACTTCGCTTGTCTCGCGCGGTTGGGGGGGGACGTAATGACGGTTGGAGGGGGGAGGATCATGGGGCAGAGTTTGAGGGGGAGGGAGGAAGGTTTGCAAGCTTGGGAATTATTCCAAGACGGGGTGGAGACAAACCAGGAGGCGGGAAGGCACTGGGAGTGGAAAATTCCAGTGACGCGGGAGTGGGATGGCATTTGTGCAGTTCAGACGTGAAACCGCTTGCGCAGTTCCACTGCTGGTTATCTCACCGTATCCATGCTTACGGGCGTGTTTGCTCCTCAAACGAGAGCCTTGGCGGCTTCTTGCCGTTGCCACACGTTCCGTGCATTCACAGGTGGCTTAATTGCAGGGTGTGTGTCGGCGGCATCGCTTAATATCCGTCCTTTCGTGTAAAATAATTTCGGTTCTGTAAAAAGGTAGACGTCAGGAAAGTTGCACTGAAACTTAACCCCTTGATACGCTGGTTTTTTTATCGGAGGGTTTTTTTTGTAGGCGCTGAAATAGTGAAGTAATGGAACTATATAACGCCTGAAATCCTGGGCACAGGTTTACCGTCTGGGAAAAGAAATACTGTAGGTTAATAGTACAGTCACCTGTGTACTTGGTCGGGAGACAGCCCCCAGTAAGTGTGGATAGGATTGTAGCTTGATTCTCCACAGGTTTAGCACACAGGATTTGGTATATAAACACTCTTTTAAGTCCCATATGTGAAAACTACAAACACAAACATGATACGGTGTTTTAAAAACCAAATACTTTTATTTGTTTTATTATAGGCTGCCTTTCCCCTGATAAGGGGATCAAAGGCGGCTCTCGATATTAAAATAAATAGCATTTAAAGCATAAGTTAAAACTTTAAAAAATAATTACTGTGTTAATTAAAATTGAGTAAAAGCAAGTAAACATTAAAAACTATAATGAATTCTAAAAGGCATTCATCGACTCAATCATGATTGTTTTAAAAAGCCTGTCTTAAAAATGGGTCTTCGGCTGAAAGCAGAAGTACTGTATAAAAGGAAGGTGACCAGCCTGATCTTCAGAGGGAGGGCATTCCATAAACTAGGAGCAGCTACAGAGAAGGCCCTTTCTCATGTCTCCACCAGCAATGGGACCAAGAGGAGGGCCTTCTCTGATGATCAAACACCAAAAAGACTCGTATAGGGAGATAGTCCTTCAGGCAGTTTAGCCCTAAGGTATATAGAGCTTTATAGAAATGACCAGCAGTTTGAATTGGGCCTGAAGTCCCACAGGCTCAGTGTCCTACTTTTGACACATTTTGTCAAAGGCAAGGCGGGATGCCTCCCAATGGCTGGTGAGTAATAACATTTAGAATCATAGAAAATTCAAGTTGGAAGGGGCCTACAAGTCCATCAAGTCCAACCCCCTGCTCAATGCAAGAATACAATCAAAGTACAGTATATCTTCCAGGTGATTATCCAAGTTTTTCTTGAATGCCTCCAGTGTTGGAGCACTCACCAACTCCCGAGGTAACTGGTTCCACACTTACATTTACAAAGTTTTTCCTGATATTCCTGAAATCTCGCTTCCTTTAACTTGAGCCCATTGTTGCATATTCTGAGAACAGATCTTTTCCCTCCTCTGTATGACAGGCTTTCAAATATTTGAAAAGTGCTATCATATCACCCCTCGGCCTTCTTTTCTCAAGGCTAAACATGCCCAATTCTTTCAGCCTTTCCTCATAAGGCTGTCGCCCTTCTCTAAATTGGATCCAATTTGTTAGCATTCTTCTTGAAGTGTGGTGTCCAGAATTGAATACAAAACTCACGGTGAGGCCTAATCAGTGCTGAATAGAGGAAAACTAGCACCTCGTGGGATTTGGCAACTATACTTCTATTAATGCAGCCTAAAATAGCATTTGCCTTTTTTGTAGCCAAATCACACTGTTGGCTCCTATTTAGCTTGCGATCTAAGAAGAAATTAAGCTGAGCTCTTGGTTATGGTTGTGCTAGTAATGTAACTACTGTTGAGGAAAACCCTGCACTGTTCAAGCTTTCCCTTCTCACAACAGACACTTAAACTGAGATCTTTACCCATACATAACTCCTTCATTCAATACAGTACATTTGTGTTGTCACCAGTATAGCTTTTCTCACTTACTCTATTGAAAAACAACAAAAGCCACCTGGTTTACCCATTCAACATTTCAAACCCTATTGAACATAAAGGGTTTATGCCAAGAGATACATTATCTGGCATTCCACTACAGTGGTGCCTCACTTGATGACGTTAATTCGTTCCAGCAAAATCGCTGTAGAGCGAAAACGTCATCAAACGAAATTAAAAAACACATCGAAAACCGTTCAATGCGTTTTAATGGGCTGAATACCTGCTTGTCCAGAGAAGATCCTCCATATGGCAGCCATCCTTGCCTGTAAAGCAAGGAATTGTCCTAGAAAACAGCGGGGGCCATTGTCTTCAGCCGGTGGCCATTTTGAAACCCGACGATCAGCTGTTTGCTGATCGTCATAAAGCGAAAATCCATTCCTGAAGCAGGGAACCAATCATCGCTAAGAGAAAAAAACCCATTTAAAACATTGTTTTGTGATCGCAAAAGCGACCACAAAAACGTCAACATAAGGCAGATTCGTCGTAGAGCGGGGTAATCATCCAGCAGGGCATGGCTGTATTGTATTACAATGGTGCCTCGACTTACAAACGCCCCTACCTGCGAACATTTCAACTTAACAAACAGCTCCGGTCGTAAAATTTTGCTTCAAATTGCAACTGGAGCGTCGACTAACAAATAGGAAAAAAAGTGGGGAAGGCAGGGAAAGTGGGAAATTTGAACCTTCAGTTAACCGTTAGCCAGCAAAGAGGCTGCTTGTCTGATATCCCACTTGCTCCATCAGTTATAGTGTGTCGATACGGAGAGATACTTCAGACTGCCTGGTACTGTACTGTACATACTGTTGTTGTTGTTTTGCTTTTTTTTAAAAAAAAAATTGATTTTTGGAATTGGGCTAGGTGGAGATGTTATGTTTCTGTGCTCTTTTTTTAACTACTAGGAATAGGGTAGGGAATACAGAAGGTAAAAGGGAGTGGGGGGAAAATATTTTAAAGGATAGGAAAACACAGTATACAATCATCCAATGCATTAATATTTCAATTTAAAAAATTCAACTTTCTGTGTTTTTTTTAACTATTTGATTACCCTCCAGCTATCAATTTACAATTATGTTTTAGTTTAAATCTAAGTTACTCCAACACTATCAGGAAACCAAGACCATTTGTAAAATACATCCCCTCATTCAATTTCCTTCCGCCTTGGACAGTCATTCAGCATGCCTGAAAAAGTATCCATTTCTGTCACTTCCCATATTTTCTCAGTACACTCCTCTTGTTTCCATGTCTCTTTTTTTTCTTCCAATTTTTGGAAGAGAAGGATGAATCCAGGACAGTAATCCAATTTTTAATTGTAATCCAAGTAATCCAACATTTTCTGACTGTAGTAGCCAAATAGCTCACTATCTCTTTATCCCATCTATGATATGGTGGAAAAAGCACTTGATCGTTGTCGTGTCACCACCTCATCCTTTGACCCTTGCCCGGCCTGGCTAATCAAAGCAGCCAGGCCTATAGCAACAGAATGGGTCACAGCAATAATTAATGGGTCTTTCCTTGAGGGCAGGGTCCCTCCTGCCCTCAAGGAGACATTCATTAGGCCTATAAAGAAAAAACCTAGTTCGGCGGTGGATGAAATTGGCAATTATAGGCCCGTCGCCAATGTTTCTTTCATTAGCAAAGTCATGGAGAGGGTGGTGGCTGATCAACTTCAGGCTCATTTGGATGAAACAGATGCCCTAGCTCTGTTCCAGTCGGGTTTCAGGCCGTGCCACGGTACAAAAACGGCATTGGTCACCCTGCTTGATGACCTATTGAGGGAGGCTGATAGGGGCAAAATGTCCTTGTTGGTTCTCCTTGATATCTCAGCTGCTTTTGATACCGTCGACCACGGTATCCTCCTGGGGAGGCTCTCCGAGCTGGGAGTCGGCGGCCTGGCACTTGCCTGGCTCCGCTCCTTCCTGGAGGACCGCCCCCAGAGAGTGCAGATTGGGGAGAATGTCTCGGCCCCGTGGAATCTCAATTGTGGGGTTCCACAGGGGTTGATCATCTCCCCAATGCTGTTTAACATCT